TGATTCTAGTCATTAGCTCAAGGCAAGAAATGCAAAGGTGTGCTATGTAATTGACAGATCACTACAGGATCTTTCTCTGATTTGCATACCTGTAAGCACAGCTGGAATTTTCATAACTGAAATTCTAGAAAACATGCTACAGACTCTATTTTCAATGCCCATCAGAACATGATTTTAAGAAACAGGAAAACCTATCAATAGTACACAGATACAGCTCATTCCTCACACACCTTCCTGAAATGAACACTACATGTACACACCAACATACACATGCACATGTACGTATTAGCAACTAGGCGTCTTGTACAATGGTTCTTTATACATTTGCATGTGTATATAAAAAAATAAACTGGATAGCTACTTAAATCAAAATATACATCTTTTAAAAGGGCATAGTTTATTCATTAGACTTCATTTTCTTTCATCTTCATGTTGCTTAATTCGTGGACATATGTAAATGCAACTGTTACTCATGCCTAAAACAGCATATCTGATATGGCAGGTTGCGAGAGTCTTACACAAGTCCAATTTTGCTGTTTATTTCAGCCAATTCACTGAGGTCTCTTTGCATCCACCTTCTTACTTTTTACTTAACCAGTGATACCTCTTAGAACAGTATTTTTGTTGCATGAAGGGGAGTTAAAATGACGATACCTACACTTAGCATTTGAAGTATTTTCCTCTATCCTATGAAATGGAATTCTTTTCTTTCTTTTTTGACTCCTGGAACACTCAGAGATGAAAAATGGTATTTCTATTATCTTGAGGTTGTTGCAAAGATATATGTTGAATGAATCTAAAATACAGCATGGACAGAAATTCCAGTTTATTGTGATAGTATGTACATGTTTGTGAAAGCCCAGGAGCTGTTAACATCAGTTCACCCAAAAAGTAAGGAGTGTTGTAACCGCTGTTATCTGGTGTCTTTCATCTTTACTAATGGGTTAATCAAAACACTTATGAGCTGTTGTGTGCACCTGCTTTCTGACCACAGTGAGAACTCAGGTACCAGGGCTACAGGTACTACAGTGAGCTACATATTTACAGAATCACAGAATCTCCTGGAGTGGAAAAGAACTGTAAGATCATCCAGTCCAATCATTAACCTAACACTGACAAGCCCACCACTAAACCATGTACCTAAGCACTATATCTACACAACCATTAAATACTTCCAGGGATGGGGACTCCACCACCGCCCTGGGCAACGCGTTCCAATGCCTGATGACCCTTTCAGTAAAGAAATTCTTCCTAGGAATTAACTTGAGAAGCAGTATTACCGGTCTTATGTATGGGCATCATTATGCGAGCAGGTTTGCTATTCTTGAGGGGTAACTTTTCTCTGGTTGTCGCTACAGTTCTTTACATTTTTGTGACTAGCCAGCAATAATTCATCCTAAACAATGGTAGTGTCGAATATAAAGATACAGCATTGTCACTTGTCACTCTGTTAGGAGCAACAACGATGCTATTTCTGCAAGCAAGAAGAGGACTTAACCCTTACTATTTCCTTTATATAACTTGTTGTAAGAAAGCCAGATTTGAAATAGAAGTCCAAAAAACACTAGAAGAAGCTCCTAAAATTTTCTAGATCTCTCATTACTTATCTTTGAAGTTTACCAGTGCCTTGAGTTTCGGTTCTGCAAGCACCAAGAAGTACTCTATGCTATTTCTGACTTGAATTCTGGTGGAATAAAAAAAAAAAAAAAAAAAAAACCAAAAAAAACCCCAACAAACCAAACCCCAAACAGGTAAAACAGCAGATACATTCACCATGCATTATGTTTGCCCTGCCCACATGCAGCATAAATCGATATAGTTGAGCAGCTTCAAAGATCTTTATCACAGCTGCCTTATTTCTGTTAGTAATTATTAGGAGAGGAATGTGGTTCTCCTCCCTTTCCTAGCTAACTGTCTAGAATACTTCTTCAAAGAAGAGAGCCTGGATTGAGTGTGTTGTGCAACCTGATAACATGCAAACAAACACATCAACAAGATGTTACTAGGCTGTAAGCGTGAAGGGAGTTGGGCAAGTAGGAGGTTCTCTCCACTGGCTTGGTAGAGATGCTTCCTAGTATAATACCAATTGGACACAACAGAGAAAGTGACTGCCACAAGAGGTGGAGTCCTTGTTTCCAGTTCCTTTTCTATGCATGGATTAACAGATTTACATGAAACGTTTGTTAGACAAAAATCCAGTAGAGATGGGGGAAAAAAAACTCAGATGAAATCCTACACATAGGAGCTGAAGTGTCTTCCTGGTAATCTAATTTTATGCTCATGTTTGGGCTACACACGCTTGGCCTATGTTTTTCTGTAGTACAGTCCTAGGTGTTCTTTGTTGGTACATGGGTTATCATTTCCCTATGGGGTTCCTATCACTTTGCCTTACCAAATCAATTTCATACAACCTCCAGAGCCTTGGTTATTGATAATAGCTAGGTCAGCTCTATTCTAGGTGTATGATACTCAATTTCACTTTTATAGATTGTTCAGGCAGCAGTTACAAAGCAGAGGCAGTTTAACTGGCACAGCTTGCAATGAATTTCCAATTTTTTTATTTCCTGTACTTTCTGGGCACAAGATGGAATTGTACAGAAAGATGATACACGGGTTAAACACAGAGAGAGTGAAATGATCCAAACATGATATACAAACAGCCATTCACTGTAGTTTGCATTCTTGTGATTGGCCTTTTACAATCAAAGCTGAGAAATGGAAAATCCTATTGCATCTTTGAGGCTTTCCTGGAGATCCACAACTTCATCTTTATCTGGGTATGTATCTCAAAAGCAGTACTATCATCCTGATTTTAGTTTGATTAGTATCCATGAACAGATGGTACTTGTGAAAGGTGATAAATAATTTTAAGACGGCATCTTGAAAATATGCCTAAAACATATTGTATATAATATAAAAAAAAAACCTCTAAAGATTAGTTAAAAGTGACTAATCATACTTGATGCCAAAATTTGCACTGCTGAAATTATTTCCTTGAGAAGATATAGGCATTCTTCTATTCTCCAAACTTGAAAATGTAAGGATTCAATCAGACATACATAATAGGAGCATTTAAAACTCTTGAATAGATTTTCTCCTTCTGTATATCAATATATGTGACATAAGGGTAAGTGCAAATTTCACTTCCCTTGACAGAAGATTATGCCATGGAGAAAAATATTTACTTTTATGTCATTATGAATTAAGCCACTATTTTTTTAGAATACATTTTGCATTAATAGATAGCTATTCCTAGAGTACATACGCTTCCCTCCTTCACAGTTTCCTCTCTCTCTGTTTCTGTCTCACATACACACCACTCACACCCCTGCATATATGCACATTCATAGTAACCTGTTCAGAATAACGGCTGAGACCAACCCCAGCTGTTTATTCAACAGCTGTGCAACAGTAGCTTTTAGGTCGGTGTTCAGAAAATTCCTAACAAGATCCTTTGTCTCATCAAATATACATATATGTGTATATGTATAGATACATATACCTATATATGGGGAACAAACAAGAGCAGTTAGACATGTGCACACGCCTGCAAAGCTATGATCTTATTGGCGTCACAGAGACATGGTGGGATGGCTCCTATGACTAGAGTGTTGAAATGGATAGATATAGACCCTTCAGGAAGGACAGGCAGAGGAGAACAGGAGGGGGCGTCACCCTCTATGTCAAGGACCAGCTGGAGTTCATGGAGCTCTGCCTGGGGATGGATGAGGAGCCGACTGAGAGCTCATGGGTCAGGATTAAAGGTAGGGCAGGGACAGGTGATGTTATAGTGGGGGTCTAATACAGGCCACTCAACCAGGAAGACCAAGCAGATGAGGCCCTCTATAGACAGATAGGAGCTGCCTCACATTTGCAAGGCCTGGTCCTCATGGGGCACTTCAACCACCCCGATATCTGTTGGAGGGACAACATAAGCAGGGCATAAGCAATCCAGGAGGTTCCTGGAATGTGTTGATGATAACTTCCTTCTCCAAGTGATAGAAGAGCCAACGAAGAGAGGTGCCATGCTGGATCTTGTTGTCATCAACAAGGAGGGACTGGTGGGGAATGTGAAGCTCAAGGGCAGCCTTGGCTGCAGTGACCATGAGATGACAGAGTTCGAGATCCTTAGGGCAGCAAGGAGGACGTACAGTAAGCTCACTAACCCTCGACTTCAGGAGAGCAGATTTTAGTGTCTTGAGAGATCTCCTTGGTAGAGTACCATGGGATAAAGCCATGGAGGGAAGAGGCACCCAAGAAAGCTGGTTAATATTCAAGGATCACCTCCTCCAAGCTCAGAAGTGATGCATCCCAACAAAGAGAAAGTCAGGCAAAAATGTCAGGAGGCCTGCATGGATGGACAATCTCAAACAGAAAAAGGAAGCCTACAGAGGGTGGAAGCAAGGACAGGTAGCCTGGGAGGAATACAGAGAAATTGTCCGAGCACCCAGGATCAGGTTAGGAAAGCCAAAGTCCAGATAGAGTTAAGTCTGGCCAGGGACGTTGAGGGCAACAAGAAAGGCTTCTATAGGCATGTTGGTGACAAAAGGAAGACTAGGGAAAATGTAGGTCCACTCAGGAGGGATATGCGAGACCTAGTCACCTGGGACATGGAGAAGGCTGAGGTACTTAACGACTTTTTTGCCTCAGTCTTCACTGGTATGGGCTCCAACCACAGTGCTCAAGTTGCAAAAGGCAAAGGCAGGGACTGGGAGATTGAGGCAGTGCCCACTGTAGGAGAAGACCAAGTTTGAGACCAGCCGAGGAACCTGAAGGTGCACAAGTCCATGAGACCCGATGAGATACATCTACGGATCCTGAGGGGACTGGTGGATGAAGTTGCCAAGCCGCTATCCATCATTTTTGAGAAGTCGTAGCAGTCTGGTGAAGTTCCCACTGACTGTAAAAAGGCAAATATAACACCCATTTTTAAAAAGGAAAAAAAGGAAGACCTGGGGGTCTACAGGACAGTTAGTCTCACCTCTGTGCCCAGCAAGATCATGGAGCAGATCCTCCTGGAAGCTGTGATAAGGAACATGGAAAATAAGGAGGTGATTGGTGAGAGCCAACATGGCCTCACTAAGGGCAAATTGTGCCTGACAAATTTGGTGGCCTTCTATGATGGGGTTACAGCATTGGTGGATAAGGGGAGAGCAACAGACATAATCTACCTGGACTTGTGCAAAGCATTTGACACTGTCCCGCACAACATCCTTGTCTCTAAATTGGAGAGACATGGATTTGACCAATGGACCAGTTGGTGAATAAGAAATTGGCTGAATAGTCGCACTCAAAGAGTTGCAGTCAACACCTTGATGTCCACGAGGAGACCAGTGACAAGTGGCGTTCCTCAGGGGTCATACTGGGACCACTATATTTATCATCTTTGTTGGTGACATGGACAGCAGGATTGAGTGCACCCATAGCAAGTTTGCTGATGACACCAAGCTGTGTGGAGCGGCCGACACACTGGAGGGAAGGGATTGCCATCCAGAGGGACCTGGGCAGGCTTGAGAGGTGGGCCCATGCCAACCTCTTGAAGTTCAACCAGGCCAAGTGCAAGGTCCTGCACATGGGTTGGGTCGATCCTAAGCACAAATACAGGCTGGGGGGAGAATGGATTGAGAGCAGCCCCGAGGAGAGGGACTTGGGAGTGTTGGTGGACAAGAAGCTCAACATGAGCCGGCAGTGAGCACTTGAATCCCAGAAGGCCAACTGTAGCCTGGACTGCATCAAAAGAAGCATGGCTAGCAGGTCAAGGGAGATGATTTTGCCCCTCTACTTACTTTCTTAAGGTAGAACTGAGATATTTTCAATCTCACTCTTTCTGAATCTTTATTTGATACGTATGGAAAAAATCCTGAAGAGCAAATGTATAATCATGCTCTAGTAAAACTTCACAGCCAAGAATAATTTGTGCTGGAACTCTGTGGAGTTTATCAAAGAAAAGGCTTCCTCCAGATTCCAAAATGCATTTCAAAATTACTTCTGCAAAGTAAATTCCTGTCATCCTTAACACATCGTGAATGTTTACTTGAATCATGTAGAAACCTAGACACTGCGACTGTGTTAACAATGCTACTCACTTCAGTCTAGATGGTCCTTTAGTGTGATTTTAGCTGTGATCCTAAAGAGGTTCTAGTATGGACTGTGACTTGTAACAAATGTCATAAAACATTACTTTGTTATTCATTACTACAGAGCTCCAAAGATACACTATTATAAGTTTATGGAAAGTCAACATTGAAAGACAGTTGTTCTTCATTTTTCTATTTGTGTTCATTGGCTTTATTTCTGTTTCACAATTTTTAAGACTCATAGCTATCATTCTCAATTAACCCAGGTCACAGCATGTTTTAATGGCAACTTGGAACCATGGTTCCTTTCGTCCCTGGTGAATTTCTGCATCTCACTTTTCCCATGTATGAGGTGTGAGGACAGTATAGCCTCCAGCACTACAGGGGGTAGTGCTTTCCTTCCTCAACCCTACAGAAGGCTGTTGCAAGTCTATATGAACACGCCAGAACATGTGTTTGACCCAATCTCCAGACCAGCCAGCATCAGCAGCCCTGGGTGCCTGTCTGTACTTGCTTTTCTGTGTATGTTTGGGGAGGGGTGCGACAGAAAGATATACATGAACTTTCTGGTGAAATTAAGGCCTTGGGTTCAAAACTATGAACGACTTGCAGGAGGTTCGTGGCTTCTCATTCAAAGATCCGGCCATATGATCCACACAGCTCACCAAAAATTGAGGTTATGGGCTACACATAGCAGTGCTGTCAACTCATCCATTCCCCACAAACTGGAAGGACACGAAGTACATCCTGAGGAGGATTTCCTTTTCTAGTATATTCAAGATTGCTGGCAGCTGTGGAAAGGTTTGTTCATGTTAAAAGCTCTTTCCTGTCTCTGCTCAATATTCAGCAAGACAGCTGTCTGGCAAGCTTCTTCAAGGGATTTGGGGTGGTTTATGGGAATGTCCTGTGTTTTCTGGCATGCATATACCATAGTACCATGTGGGTACCTGAAAGAGAGTTCAGAGTGTTTTGGGGCACAGCTATCTCCACAATGGTCTTCAGGAGACACAGAAAAGATGTTCAGGACCACCCATCAGCTTGCAATAGTTTTGTGCACTTTTTGGCCTGTACTGAGGTTTACATTCATAAAGAAACGGTTCTCTATACTGAACCAAACTCTGGATGTTCAAATGTGAGAAGCCGAGGTCCCCCTTCAGCACACTCCTTCATGTGTCTTTGAACTTTAGGGGTCTGATGGGGCTTCCTAGCTTAGCCACCCTTAATGGCTTTGGGATGGCAGAAGTGAAGGATCTGGAACCCTTGTCATCAACAGTTGTCTGGAATTTTCCAACACTAGGGGTTATGTTACGCCACAGCCTGGTGCTTTTGGGTACTGCTAGCCCCTCCACCATACCCAAATAGCTCAGGAAAAGAGTTCAGTGCCACTGTCTACCTCATGCTTACTGGCTTTTTGGAGCAGAGCTGTCCCTGGGCCAGTATCCTTGTTCCTTCAGAAGGAAGTTTGCATCCACGAAGATGCCCCTTCCCAGGCGTTTTTGGGCACAGATGATTCCACTGCATCCCCAGGAGGTCCACAGTAGTGTTTTGGTTTCAGCAGCTGACTGACAAGAATTCTTATGCTTTGCTGGTTTTCTTGTATTTAGAGGTGGTTTGTAGCCAAATTTGGCATTTTTTAGTGTGACACCACCTAGATGAAGATAGAGGTGATCATGGTTTCTTTCTCCCTTTAAGACTCTCTGCCTCTTTATCTAGGGTCATAAGTCAAATCTGAGATCTACTTAAAGAGTGATTGTTTCTTTCAAGTATTTGGTGACGTATTTCCTAACAATAACGTTCTAGAAGTTCAAGAGTGTGTGCTCATTCGGGGTTTCTATATTGTTAGTAGTAAATCTCAGAACTACTTTTTTAACCCTTTTAAGGATCAAGAATCCTGAGACGCAACTAAGTTCATAGGATACGTATACTTCAGATTAATAAGTAAAAATATGTGAAGTGTATCTGGCTAACAGCTATACAAATACACAGAAAGCAATCAGAACAGTGACAAATCAAGAATTTAACCTAATCCCTCTGAATCAGGTACTCCTAAAACCAGTGAAGATTACTAATTTAGTAATTGCACCTGTTGTAAAACACTCAACGGTGATTCAGTTCTTTTTGGAATGCAATGCAAACGAAGGCAGACTACTGCATAAAGGACTACAGAAGTTAAAATGGGGAGCTTCAGGGAAGAGCAGAATTTTGGGATTAAACAACGGAATTTTGGGAATGTAGAGGGTGAATTGACGGATTTTTACAGGGAATGGGAAGGATCATGATATGGAGGAAAATGGAGGAATCAGGAAAAGGGAATATAACAGATGTCATTGCACATAAGCAGTAAACTTGTCTGATCACTACAGACTGTCCTGTCTTCTTATTAAATTCTAACCGCTTTCATGTGAGTATAATCTCTATTTCTTGTGTGTGTGTAGTCTGCCAGCAAACTTCAAGCTGGACTTGCTGATGTGCAGGGTGAGAAGTTTAGGAGCTAGGCACTGGAGAATCTGAGGGTCCAGAGGCCAGCTACCAGTGAGACCTGATCCACTGTTTTTTATCTGTGCCTTCAAATTCAGGGATGAAAGGTTTAAATATTTAGAGAAAAAGTTTAGAAACCTTATCTTACCAAAAGGGACAAACACAGACATGGACACATCACCTCCTTCTTGTTGAAACTTGAAAGAATCATTTTGATCATCAGAATTCAGATCCTAGCATTTAATTAAAAACTAGAGGTGACCTCACAATTCTCTGAAGTAAAGGTCATAGCATACTGCTATGCAATCATTAATGCAACTTTTCAGAAGCCATTGGATCAATTGTTCTCTCATTAGTTGGTTACATAATCATCATGAAATCCTAGATACTTACCTCAAGTTAATTTTACCATATATGGCTTGAAAAAATAGTGATTTTATGACTACTTGGAATTAATAAAAGCTGGAGGGGGAAAAAGTAACAGAGAATCATATCAAAAGATGATTATTTTTAAAGGAAAAATGGTACAGAAAGAAATAATAGCCATAAAAATAAACTACCAAAGTTTCCATGTATAAATTAAAATGTCTCAAAGTGCACCAAAAATATCTGCCTTGGACCACAATTCAAAGAAGTCACTAAAACTTTACTTGGGGACGGGGACAGGGACATTCCATGGATCATAAGATGAAAATACAGTTTATTCTGAAGCTGAAGGACATCTTAACTTTTCTTGCAATATACATCATATCGGCTTGCATGTGAGCCCTCCCTAAAAACAAATTCTGTCAAATATATATATTTCTTTAAAGTAAGTTTTCTCAAATCATAATTTTGCTGGGAAGTTTTTGACTGCCACTTCTCCAGAAGCATTTGGACCCACAAGCCAGTAACAAAACATATGACTAGGTTTTGGAAGTTTTGGAAAAAAATACATTCATAAAGATTCACAAAGGTAAATACCGCTCCAGATGACTTCATTTGAGATGTTTGTTTAAACCATTGTCAGTTTGAGATACAGAGATTAGTTATTCTAAAAGCTCAGGTTTAACTTAACCACAGGATATATCTCATTTCTCTGAAACTCAAAATCCCTCCAGCACAGCCCGAGTAAGGAAGAAAGTGGTTTCCTTCCTAACTGCTTGTTTTCCTTCAGACACCCCCATCTTTACCTTAACATCAAGTGCATTAGCACCATCTCTTAGCTCCATCTATGTTTTATTTCAAGATAACAACAGTTCAAAGACACATATACTTACATAGCCCCAAAGCAAGTTTTGAAGTAGCCTATATTAACTTTGGACCACAAGACATGTTTGTGTGTGTGTTTATCTTCCTCACCCATTTTCATAGACGTATGGGACTGAAGGTCTTAAGACCTGGAGGAAGCTTTTAGAAATGTGTACAGCCTTCTGTATAAAAGGTTCATATTCTGGTTAAATCCATTTAATAGCACTGTAGGACAAATATTTAAGATACAGTGTTACCAACTTAGATAACTAA